TTAAATGCACATCACATCATTACGCATTACTACAACCTCTGAACTTCCCCACAGAATGGATGAGCACAGGAGCTTGCTCAATGCCAGAATCCTCCATCTTTGCTTTGACGAACACAACAAATCGAGTCTGTCATGCATGTAAACATTTGAGTTCAACCGAGCATACAAACTAGGATGACTAGCTTTCATTTGACAACTGCAGGTGTCTAGTTTTGCTGAAATCGAGTGCTTTGGGTGGCAGCAGTAGTTTGGAATGTAACATTCAGGCTAAACTTCACGATGAAGTCAATATGCGGTTCGTTATGATGTGATATTTCGCAATGTATCTCTCCAAATCTCTGGAACAGAATTCCACAAGAATGAATCGCTGTTTTTTTTATTTTACTGGTAATGCTGGTAATAAAGCTCTGGTAGACTTGCTTAAACAACCCTTTGAACTGAAGCACGTGACGTGTGAAGAACACTACAGTCTAAATTTATAGCAGACCCTGCAGCAGAGAGCAGAGCTTATGCCCTCCACCACAAACTACATCAAAGGGCATTGTGGGTGGAGCACTAACTTTCAATACATTGTGCAAATCTGTAGGCTTACTGTCAATCTGACTTCTCAAAGCTGCTGTGGAAAATGTAGCGTTTACGGACAGACCATACGATCTGATTTAATGCTGATCTAAAATAATATAACAAAACCTCACATAACAACATGCAGCATTTCTTACTCATTATCTGCATTTGTAAAAGAACATTATGAAAGGCTTATTTATGAAAAACTGCATTCTATTTTTTTAAAATACGATGTGAAACTGAACTTAAGATTTATTATATACTTTTCAAATTGTAGTATACATGTCAAATAATTAACCAATTATTGTTATTGCTGTTATTTTGCATTTTTTTAATCTAATTTTGAGCAAAAAAGGACTTCATTTTTTGGCAGTCTAATTAGTAAACAAAGAGATTTTAAAAATTATGACTGAAATTACTTCAGGTTCAGCTGAATATCAAGTCAACCACATTGCATTGTGGGATACAGTAGAGTATTTTATGCAAATTAGCTTACTATCATTCTATTTTTTTTTTTAAATATTATGTGAAACAGAACGTATTATTTAACAAACTTTTTAAATTGAAGTATGCATTTCAAATACGAAATCGTCTTTGAAATAAACTGTTATTTTGCATTTTTAATCCAATTTTGAGAAAAAAAAATTTACTACATTTTAGCGGTCTCATTAAAAAAAGTAAAGAAAGAGACATTAAAAATCACGACAAATATTACTTCATATCAAGTATTGCATCATGACTATTGTATGCATACAAAAAATGTGTACGCATACATTATATACTGTAGGAATTGAAGTATTATAGCATACCAAGTCCATTACCCATTAATTAATTTACATATTTCAACACTCAATTTCTTCTACACTGTGAAAAATGATCTTTAGAAGTTGTAAATAAAGATTATTCAAGTATGTTTTACAAGAAAATACTACTTCAGTCTTTAACTTTCATGTTTAATTCAATGCTACTTGCTGTTTCTTTGTAATTATTTGTGAAATTTACTAGCAGCTTCTGAGTGAAAATTGTTTCCACAGCAAATATTTTTTCAAAATGAGAAAATTGAATGGTGAAAATCTTGGTCTCTTCCTTCAAAACATCTCAAATGTGTGTATCAGCACTTCTGCAGACAAGTCACACATCTTTTAAAGCATCATAAAGCAATTACATGCAGGCCCACTGACCTCGAATCTACCAAACTAGAAGCTCCGATGCCTTTGCACATGGCATTTCTGACAGCCCCAAAAGCAACAGCCTCATGTAAGATTTAAGTTGTACATCTTAAATTTTGCACTTCTGTGTATGAATGGCAGAAATGTTAACGCAGGCATAAGGCTTTTCTTTCCACTGGCTCAGTGAGCTGGAACACACATTAGAGCATGTGCAGCACTCTATTTTTCATTCTTTACACACACACACACACCCTTTCTGGTTTAATAAGGCTGATGGAACGGTGCCTCTCCTCTGATGCGAGATCAATCAACAAATCAGTTTATTTTGTCCCGTTATATCATTACGCCGCTATGACACCGTCTTCTTCATCTGATCAATACACCTCGGGGACTCACATATGGTTCTGCCATTAACATCTACAATGCTAGAATTTAAAAAAACCTCCAGCATTTCCGAGAACACGCCGCAAAACATCCTGACTCGAGCTATAATAATGGAAAATGACATCACTGGCTCGCTTTGAGATTTAACTGTTAAGTTATTACACCAACTGAAAGTACTGACATATAACATGTAGACCTATGATCTTTGCAGCGGCACGCCTCAGTATTGTTATTACACATCAAACGGCATGCATCACATGGTATTTCAGTTTATTTTGGGGGAAGTCGTGGCCTAATGGTTAGAGAGTCAGACTCGTAACCCAAAGGTTGCGGGTTCGAGTCTCGTACTGGCAGGGATTGTAGGTGGGGGGAGTGAATGTACAGCGCTCTCTCCCACCTTCAATACCATGACTGAGGTGTCCTTGAGCAAGGCACCGAACCCCCAACTGCTCCTCGGGCGCCGCAGCAAAAAATGGCTGCCCACTGCTCTGGGTGTGTGTTCACGGTGTGTGTGTGTGTTCACTGCTGTGTGTGTGCACTTTGGATGGGTTAAATGCAGAGCACAAATTCCGAGTATGGGTCACCATACTTGGCCACATGTCACTTCACTATTTGTGGTTAATTCCTATTGATCTTTAACAGCAAACATATCACCAGCAAAAGGCAGATTATAAACTAATAGGATCACTGATCGGCAGCCTAATAAAGTCCTAACAGATGGAAACACAACACACGGCTGGAAAGAAGGGGGTTGAACTTGAACCCCGTGACCTTTTGTGCTCGGCGTGATCAATACGACGCAAGCCACAGCAACAGAAGCATCAACACTGGTAATAAATATATAACTTCTACTGGGTTTGCAATTGCAACCTAGAGCGTTTCCACAGCAAACCGTGCAATAGTCCCGCAGAGTGCTTCAACCAAACTGTGTAGGAAAACACACACACTTTCCCCCAAGATCAGTGCTGCATGTACCATCTACACATCCTGTAATGCGATAAACATTCCCTGCGTGCACTAAAAGAGGAGGGCTGCTCGGATGCCCTTGGTATGCAAATATAGAGTATCATGGCCAACTGCCAGCCGAGGGACGCCACGGCCATATTTATGAGAAATATATCGCTTTATTGCATCCCCTCCCCCTGCATATGACAGAAAGGAAAACAAATTCCTGTCCTGAATTCAGTCTCGGCTCGTTCGTCACGGTGAGCTCTACCTATCGGGGCTAATCCAGGTCTACTGGAAGCAACCCCCCCGGCCCTGCCTGCATCGCAAGATTGCATCTTTTATTTATCGCCGCTTGGCTTTATTTTTGCAGAGCATTCCATACTGGGATGCAATCAGCCAAGAAACCCTCCCCGTGCACGCAGGCTTGTCATTTCCCATCGCCGGAGCTCGGAATGAGGCGCACACAACGGGAAAAAGCGGAATCAAAAGCAGAGAGCTCTACGTAGCCTGTTGGAAAAAGGGCAAGAGCCCTTGATCTTCCAAGACAGCCAGCCGCTCGAGAGGCTCCGGGCAGGGAAGACACACATGGGCCAGTGTGTGCATTTTCCTGAGAGCACAAACCCATTTTGGCTGAAGGGTGAGGGCATAGAGCCCAGCTGAGGCACCTTTTCTCTTGCGGGCTACGAACGTGGAGGAGGGGGGAATGGTCATGCCGAAAATTAAGTTCACTGATTGCATTACAATTCGAATTAAGCAAAGGCACTAATGTGATTAAAATCTTGAGTCGTTTCCAAAGGGCGGAGAGCCACGGAATCAATTGCGGGGACTTTAAAAACAAAGGTGGATAAAGTTGCAATAGACAAAGCGGGTGAATCACTACATGCCAGAGCTGAATATCGCGTTCGCAGCTACTTTGACCATTTCCAGGCGCGCACTGACGTCACGAGGGTCAGCTGGAACGTATGCATATTATTAGGGGACATTTAAAAAGAAATCGAGACACTGCGACTTTAAATCGCCGTTCCTCCCACCTCTTTCCCAAATCTTTTCCACTTAACAAGCAGTGAAAGAAATTAAAAAGCCGCTTTTGTTTCCCTTCCTTTTGGAGGGTGACAGAAAGCTGAAAAGACACACACGAACATGAAAATGGGAACAAAGTGTCAATTTCAATAGGGATGCCTGACGGCTATTTGATATGCGCACCCACTAAATACAAAACCAACAGTGTTTTCGCTGCTAAAAACAAGAGTCAGAGTCTTGTTTGCAATAACCACAAATATTCGCGAATATTCCTGCTATTTTAGTTGACATGACAGCTCTACATCCAGTTATAGGTTATACATCCTATAACCCCCCCCCCCCCCCCC